TTACCCTATATATATATATAATAATAATAATAATAATAATAATAATAATAATAATAATAATAATAATAATAATAATAATAATAAACTATTATTACTAGGTAGTGTACATGTATTATGTATACATACCCGCCACCGTTTGTTGTGTGTTCTTGCACCAGATTTTCTTCAATCCCTGGTCAATAAATCTAAAGATATTGACCTCCTGAATGCGCCAATTCCTTTGCAATACAGTTCAGACTTCCCAATTGTGCAATATGTAGGTATGTAGATGACACCCACTACACTTGTGTCTATATACAATTAGTAGGGGACAAGCACGTGTTCGTGATTCTAACAGGAGACATCATAAAAAGTTCACAATATAGGATACTTAAAGTAAGTCACACGATACGTATATATATGTGAATAATATAGCATATGCTCCAATCTAATAATACCACATATGCCAATTAAATAAATTTGTGTATGCCTATATAACACCGTTGCATCATAGCAATGATAATAATAAACTATTATTACTAGGTAGTGTACATGTATTATGTATACATACCCGCCACCGTTTGTTGTGTGTTCTTGCACCAGATTTTCTTCAATCCCTGGTCAATAAATCTAAAGATATTGACCTCCTGAATGCGCCAATTCCTTCTTCATAATACAGTTCAGACTTCCCAATTGTGCAATATGTAGGTATGTAGATGACACCCTCATTATTTTGAAAGGATGTGCAAGGCAGTTGTTTTTCCTAAAATCCTTACTTCATAGCTTTAGTTGAGCAACTATAGTCTCAGTCAATTATAGTAAATCTGTGAAGAACATCTCTAAAGAAAAGTTTTGTTGCTCTAAGGCATCACTTCCTTTCACTTACCTAGGTTTACCTTTTGGGATTTTCCAAACCAGAAGTTGAGGAGTTTTTAACATTGATATGTAAATGTGAAAGAAGGCTAATCAGTACTTCAACATTCCATTTCAAAGCCGGTAGACTAGAATTGGTAAATGTTGTGTTCTCCTCACTCCCAACTTTATTCATGTCTACTTTCATTCTAAAAGCTATAGTCATCAAACATATTGGCAAGTTTAGAAAGCACTATCTCTGGAGAGAAACTGACTAAAACGGAAAAGCCTCCTAAGGCAGCCATGGAAATGGTGTGTATGCCAAAGGAGGAAAGGTGGTTTGGGGTGATTGACCTAAAATCTCATAATGAAGCCCTAATGATGAAAAATTTACATAAATTCTTCAATTGGGTAAGCATTATTTGGGAAAACTTTACCCAAATGGAAGGTTACTAAATCATGTGAAAAATGGCTCTTTTTGGTTGAGGGATATTCTAAAAATTTTGGACATTTTTAAGGGTTTTACTGTTGTCCAAATTGTGGATAGAAAAAGGTGTCTTCTATGGGATGATCTTTGTCATTCGCAGGTCTTAAGATTAGAGTTACTTGAGCTTCATTCCTTTGCAAAGAAGTTTATTTCAGTGAAGATGGTTGTCTCTAGAAATTCTGCGTTGCAACTCTTCCACTTGCCTAGCTATCTCTAAATCGGATTTTGCTCAGTTTTAGTTGCTCTCCTTGAAGTGTGAAAATCTCCATTTAGATGAAGGCCCAGACATTTCGACTTACACCTGGAACTCTAATTCTTTTTCCTCTGCTAAAGCTTAATTATAAGTCCCTGATTGGACATGGTCAAGTAAATATTTCCTTTAAATGGTTTTGGAATTCCTTCTGCCAACCAAAAACACAAGGTCTTTTTTCTACCTTCTTCTCAAATACAGGCTTAGCACCAGAAACATCTTGCGAAGGAGCAAATGCAGCTATATTGATGAGGTGGACAATTTGGACCGCTATGAATAACCAGATCTTCAATCGAATCAGCTAGAACCTTTTGGCTTGCAAGTCAAACTTCTTTAAGGAGCTTTCCTTGCTCTTGCATATAGCCAAGAAGAAGAGCCTCCCACAATTTGATTTTCGGATCCAAAGTCTGTTGTAATCTTCCTTGTTTCTCATATATTTTCTTTTTTTTTCTTTCTTTGTCTCTTATCTTAATTCCTTTTTTGTATGCTACTATCAGTTGCTGTCCTTTTGATTAACGGCATTTTACAGTAGGGTGACAAGAGATGTCATTAACAATGGATATATGATAGAAGCTTGCATTGCACGCATGCATCCGTCCAATTAGACCAAGTTCCGTACTCTAATTAAGTCTTTTTCTATAATAAAGGAAGGATAGTCGACAAATGGTAATAAGGTCCATATAGATGACGCATTTGAGCGGTCTCTGTTTCCAAAGCAAATTCTTCCTTTGCTAGCTTTGCTTGAATTTGCCTGCCATTGGATGGACCCTACACATCATCTTTTTTTCAAAGAAAAAAAATCTTGTACCGTGTGCCGGCGCACGTGTGAATCCACATTATTCACCGGACAACGGCGACAGCTCCGCCTCACCTGCTCCTTCCTTCCGACGAGACGACGGTAACCACTAACCAGGCCAGCGGGGAGCCGTTGACTGCAAGTCAACTTTACTTGAGCCTGCCACCATTATGAATATATATAGGAGTACTCTTACTGAACTCACTAGTCACGGAATCACCACTAGCTAATACTCGTGTACGAGTAACAAGGAGCAAGGTCGGGGTCAGAAGCCATGGCGATGATGGACAAGTGGACAGGCCTGGGATCGGCGCTGGCAAGCTTCTTCTTCCTCTGGTCCGTGGTGCAGAACCACATCCCCGTCGCCTTCCGCTACCGCCTCAGCACTTGGGGAAACAAGCTTGTCTCTTTCTTCAGCCCCTACCTGGAGATCACCATCAACGAGTACGGCGCCGAGGGCTTCCACCGCAGCGACTTCTACCTTGCTGTCGAGGCCTACCTATCCGACGCCTGCGCACGCCGCGCGCGCAAGCTCAGGGCCGAGCTCGGCAAGAACAGCAAGAACCTCCAGGTCTCCGTCGACGACAACGACGAGGTCACCGACGCCTTCGCCGGGGCCACCATCTGGTGGTACGCCTGCAAGCAGTTCGCCGGGTCCCAAGTCATCAGCTGGTACCCCGGCGAGGAAGTGCGCCGCTTCTACCGGGTCGTCTTCCACCGGCGCCACCGCGACCTCGTCGTCGACAGGTACCTGCCGTACGTCCTCGAGGAAGGCCGCGCCGTCACCGTCCGCAACCGCCAGCGCCGCCTCTTCACCAACAACCCCAGCGGCAGCTGGAACTCTTACCGTGGCAAGAACGTCTGGAGCCACGTCCCGTTCGAGCACCCGGCCACGTTCGACACGCTCGCCATGGACCCCGACGACAAGGAGGAGATCCTTGACGAGCTCCAGGCGTTCCGGGAGGCTAAGGACTACTACACCAAGGTCGGCAAGCCGTGGAAGCGAGGGTACCTGCTCTATGGGCCCCCGGGCACCGGCAAGTCCACCATGATCGCCGCCATGGCCAACTTCCTCGACTACGACGTCTACGACCTCGAGCTCACGGCGGTCAAGAACAACACTGAGCTGCGGAAGCTCTTCATCGAGACAACCGGCAAGTCCATCATCGTCATCGAGGACATCGACTGCTCCGTCGACCTCACTGGCAAGCGCAAGGACACGACGGCGGAGAAGAAGGCCGATGCAGACAGTGACGACAAGCCCAAGCTGCCGACGGATCCCGACAAGGAAGACGGCACGAAGGTGACGCTTTCAGGGCTGCTCAACTTCATCGATGGCCTGTGGTCGGCGTGCGGCGGCGAGCGCATCATCATCTTCACAACCAACCACAAGGACAAACTGGACCCGGCGCTGATCCGGCGAGGCAGGATGGATAGGCACATCGAGATGTCCTACTGCCGCTTCCGGGCCTTCAAGGTGCTCGCCAAGAACTACCTCGACGTCAAGGAGCACGAGCTGTTCGGCCAGATAGCGCAGCTGCTCGAGGAGACAGACATGTCGCCGGCAGATGTGGCCGAGAACCTGATGCCCATGTCCAAGAAGAAGAAAAGGGACGCTAACGCATGCTTCGAGGGTCTTGTGGAGGCTCTGAAGCAAGCCAAAGAGGAGGCGGCCGCTAAGGCGCTGGCTGAGGCGGCCAAGGCGAAGGAGAAGGCAGAAGCGGAGGCAAAGGAGGCCAAAGAGAAAGACAAGGCAGCGGCGGAGGCAACAGAAAACAGAGAAGACAAAGGGAAGGACAGCAAGATGAGCAACGGAGAAATCAAGGAAGGTGACAAGTGACAAGTACAGAATGAGCTCGCTTACTGGTGAAGTGATGGAGAAAGATAGCTGAATAATGCAGTGTCCTATATGCACTACTGCACTAGGAGACTGAGTGGTTGTGGTTCATTCATGTTCAGAGAAGCACATGTAATGTGTCACTCTCTCCAAATCAAGCAATCCAGTAGCCTTTTTTCCGTGTTTTGTGGCCAATCCTCATTGTTCAATAACACAGTAAGGCCTGCTGTCGGTTGTGCTATAGGTTATCAAGTTGCTCTGTAAATTTCTTTCATGTAACCCCTGCTCTCGTCCTCTACTTTGTTTTAGGCAGTGCCGTGTAATCATCCTATTGTACTTGTTTCTTCCACATTCTTATAAAAAAGAAAAAGAAAAAACGTGCATTGCACATTCTCGAAAGTAAAGTGAGAAAAACATCCATCTATAGTTACTGAGGATAAGGGGGTTAAACAGGCATTGATATTTGTGGAAACAGGAAACAACTGTGACACTTCATCTTCTTCTCACATTTGTACATGCTATAAAGCCATCCAAGATGTACATATAGGCTAAGACAGTATATATGGTTTCCCCTTTTCAATCGTAAATTCACAGAAGAAGTATAGGAGCCACACATCAATCCTAGTCGTAGAGCGATGGTAAAAGGTATATATTTGTTCGGGCCACGAGTGGAAGATCATGTTCCATCTATGTAATAGTCTCCAAAAGTTATATTCAGGCTTATACAAATATACTCACATAATATACATGTACAAGCATTATTGCAAGTTATACCATCATCTTTCATGAAGACTTATCACTAGTCTAGAAAAGACTGCAACCTCGCGTATATGACACGCATATAGAACTTCCTTGTTCTGATAAACAACACAAACGCAACAGCAGACCCGAACATACAGACACCGGCCATGATCATGAAAGAGAGCGCAAAGCATTGCTTACCTACACAGGAGTGCTCATCTGGTGGCGATTCGATGTCATATATGTAGCCCACAATGCGCACCGAGAGGATGTAAGACCCAACAGGGCTCGCAACAGCCACCATGTTGAATATTGTGCCAAAATGGTTCAGCCCAAAGATCTCAGATGTTATGCTCGGCATCAGGGCCCACTGACACCCATAGCACATGCCGATCAGCACCGACCCAAAGTAGAGTGATGCAGGGAGACCGGAGGAGATGATCGCATGACCGGCGCTCATGATCAGCAGCGTAACACCTATAAAGAATGGCCTCCCAATTCCTCGCTGGCGAAGGAAATGGTCAGATATGAAGCCTGCACCGAACCGCCCTGAAAAGTTCCATATGCTCCAGAGTGACACAAGTGTGCTGGTCTCCTTGGTCGTGTAGCCAAGTGAGCCGCCGATCTGGCTGATATTGTTCACCGTGGCCAGACCTGATCCCATTCCGCAAGTCATTGCTAGGAAGAGCAACCAGAAGTTGAGTTTGCACATGGCCTGTAATACATTCAGGTTCTCTTTGCCAGCAGACAGGTCTTGGTCAGATCCCCCAAGTGCGGTACTGGAGGTAGCATTTTCAGAATCCTCTGCGACCTCTTCACGGAGCAGTCCAGTCCTTTGTTCTGAGATTGATTCCTCATGTGGCGTCTGGGCCTTCAAAGCGACGGCTATCGAGACATCACTAGTATCAAGAGTACCACGAAACAAATGCTCTGCACAGCTGAGCTTATCGAGAAAATTTGACCACAGATTATGAGAATCATCAAGTATCCGCCAACAGTAACAGCAATGAGGGAGAAAGCGTCTAGGAATTTCTTGTTGTACCGTTCATTGGGGTTGTGGACATCCACAAAATACATAAGCACCAATGTGACGGCTGTGCGCAAAACTGCCAGCATCAGTATGAAAGAGCTGTGTCGGGGACCAATATTAAGGGTACCCGAAGAGGAGGAGCTAATAACCGTCAACATTGATTCATCCGCGCGATTAAGAGCGCGACTACACCGCTTGCCGGGTCACTTCTCGCCTGTCCACCGAGACCATGGGCCCTGCCTCGTTTGACCCTCGAGGGTTGGCCCCGCCTCGGTGGGCACTGTGGCCGCAGACTTCGTCTCGCCCGACACCCGAGGGTTGACTCCGCCTCAGGCTAACTCCCGAGGGCTGGCCTCGTCTCGCCCGACGTCTGAGGGCAGACTCCGTCTCACCCGACCCCCGAGGGTTGGCTCCGCCTCGCCCGACGTCTGGGGGCTGGCTCCGTTTCGCCCGACGTCTGAGGGCAGACTCCGTCTCGCCCGACCCCCGAGGGCTGGCTCTGCCTCGTCCGACATCTGAGGGCTGGCTCCGCCTCGCTCGACATCTGAGGGCAGACTTCGTCTCGCCCGACCCCCGAGGGCTGGCTCCGCCTTGTCCGACGTCTGAGGGCGGGCTCTGCCTCGCCCGATGTCTGAGGGCAGACTCCGTCTCGCCCGACGTCTGAAGGCTGGCTCCGCCTCGCCCGACATCTGCGCGCTGCTCCTTCATAACTACACGCGCAGATAAGGCAGGGCACTCAAGTCAACTGCAATACCGAGGACCATACTCTGCACGCCTGCAGGAAAGTACCTTCAGGATATGACCAGAAGCGCGCTTTGAGACCTTCCAGGCATGTCAGAGTCCAAACAGTGTTGTAGACGCCCACATTTGTCTTACAGTATTGTGGGCGCCGCCATTTGCCCTCGAGCACGGATCCTGACAGAAGCACACGACAACCACTACGGTACAGAAGGAAACTCGCATCACCTACAGTAATGGACGTGCGGTCACTGTGCCGTCTGCTCCCTGTAGGGCCGCGGATCAGCACTATGGTCCGCTGCGCCGCCCACCGGGGCGGGATGGGACGTGACAACTTGATGACAATACCATGACATGGCGTCATCAGCGGATAGACACCCAGCGTGGCCCTATCAGGATCAGCGGACATGCATCCAGCGTGGAGCTATCCCTGACACCGCCTGCCATGTCAGTGGGGCTTGCACAGAGGAAAAGGAAGACCCGGTATCTTTGAAGGACCTCCTTTGCCTCTGTTTTTCTTCTTTCTCCCATCTGTAATCCCTGCTCTTCCTCGGCCTATAAAAAGGAAAGCATGGCACCCACCAAGAGGATCGATTCAACACACCACACATCACATCACACATAGCTGAGCAACGACCAAGCTCTTAGCACCCATTCGACCTTTCCATCAGAGACTTGAGACCTTTTCCTCTCTCGCCCGTTTGTAACTCCTACTACGAACTTTTCAGTGCTAATAACACAAGCAGTAGCCACGAACTAGACGTAGGGACATTCTGCCTGAACCAGTATAAACCTTGTGTCTTTTTAGCACACCATCCGGGTCAAACGCGCAATAACACAAATTTACTCGTTGATATTTACTCGAAACACCGACAGTTGGCGCGCCAGGTAGGGGACCTTTGCGCGTTCCGACATTAACATTAGGCCACGGATGGCTAGCCACGGTATCAGCTAGGTCCCAGGCGCATACGTGTGCTTCAGGGACCTAGACTTCATCATCACGGTGGGGGCAGAGTTGGCATTGGCTCACGCCGCCATCCAACCTCTCCCCTCCATCGGCCTCGACTACGAGAGGCTTGAGCGCCAGCTCGGTGTCTCCCTAGGACCCCAGCCGTCCAGAGAGGACCCGCGCCGCCTCACCTCCTCTTATGCCAATGACATAGAGTGGCTCGCCAGAGGAGAACCCCTCTCTCCGGAACACCTCATACGGAGCGCCCCGACAGTGCTTTCGTTCGGTCTCCGCAACACCGTGGGGACCGTTAGCCACCTTGTGGCACAACGCATGATTCCACCTCCCACGAACGATGAATTTGTGGGGATGATCGAACATGTCGTGGAATCTTTCCACGCCCTCCTCACAGAGGAGCCAAAGTCGCCCTCTAGCTCTAACTCCAGCAGGGGAAACCATCACCCCTCTCGCGAATGCTTCATGACGGGTACCCCCGAGGGACATGTCGAAAGCATCCGCGAGGAGGAGGCTACCCTAGTGAACAACCTCGACAACGAGGCCGAGGGGGAGACAGCGGCCCCACCTCACATGCGGGTGGAGCAGCTAAAAGCCCGACACCGAGAGATCGAGGAAGCATGGCTCCAGCTCAAGTAGGAATGCGCGGAGCTCGATCGGGAAATCGAGCGCCATGGAGACGGTGGGCGCGCACGGGCCATGGCCCACGATGTGAATCGAAGGATCATCGCCGATGATGAAGCCCTCCCTCGTTTTATCCGAGCAAGCCAGAACATCACCTCCGCGCTGCGGCCTTGCTCCATGGCCTTCTAGGGGCTGCGACTCCCGAGGATCGTTAGGCCCACCATGAGATTCGCACGCTGCTCGAGCGTGCGGCAGCGCAGCAGGCCAAGAGCTTGTTGTCTCGGTGATGCGAGCTTGCGCATGCTCTCAGAGCATCCCAGCAGGGACGCGTCGGTCCACTAGGCACCACAAAGCGGTGGGCGGCGCGCCATGGTCCCAGTGCATCAGCGTCTCGGCCGCAACCACGACGCACGCAACACCCTCGACGCTCGTAGGCGTACCCACAACGATCCGAGAGAGGGAGCTAGCCACGGCTATCACCCTCGCCATGGCGGATGCTACGACAGCAGCGAGAACCGAAGCTTGAGCCCCGGCCTGCCGAGGCGTCAGGCCTTCGGTCGTCACATCCTCAACGCTGCCTTCTCGCCAAGGTACCGACCACCAACCAACATCCTGAAGTACTCTAGGGAAATAAACCCCAGACTATGGTTCGAGGATTATCGGCTTGCCTGCTAAGCTAGTGGTGCGGATAATGATGATTTTATTATCCGCAATCTTCCATTGTTCTTGGCCGATTCGGCACGAACATGGTTGGAACACCTGCCATCCAACAGAATCCTGAGTTGGGCGGATCTGAAGGAGATCTTCCTAGGAAACTTCTAGGGCACATACAAGCACCATAGGAACCCATGGGACCTCAAAAACTACCGACAAAAGGCTAGAGAAACCCTCCATGGGTACATCTGATGCTTCTCCGAGTAGTGCAACGAGCTGCCTAACGTTACCAACGCCGACGTTATAGGGGCTTTCCTATTCGGGACCACCTGCCAGTCTCTGGTTCACAAGCTAGGACGCAAGGGTCCACGAACCACCAAGGAACTCCTTGACATCGCCACCAGCCATGCCTCGGGCCAAGAAGCGGTCGGAGCGATATTCAATCGCCTTAATGGCAAGGCGAGGAGGGACAAGGACACTGACGAATGCACCTCCAATCGTCCTGCCAAAAAGAAGAACAAGAAGCAATGGCGTGAGAGCTCTCTCGTGGCCGCTGCTGACCGTGGGGGTGGTCGGAAGCCCATAGAGGGCACTTTGAACCACTTCGAAAAACTACTCGAGGGGCCATGCCCAAACCATGCCTTCCCCATCAAGCATTTGTACAAGGACTGCGCCCTCATGAAGCGGTTCTTGTTCGGAGGCTCCAACATAGGGGAGCATGGGAAGGACCCCGACCCTACCACAGACGATGCCAAGGGGAAGGATGACGGCTTTCCAACACCGGATGGCTGCCTCATGATCTTCGGAGGATTAGAGGCCTATGACTCCAAGCATCGCCAGAAGATCACGCGCCATGAGGTCTATGCGACCAAACCGGCCACACCTGCCTTCCTCCGGTGGTCAGAGTCCACTATAACTTTCGATCGGACCAACCACCCGGAGAGCGTCTCATAGCCAGGGAGATACCCACTCGTGGTCGACCCAATTGTTGGCACGAAGCGGCTCACCAAAGTACTAATGGATGGAGGCAGCGACCTCAACATCATGTACGCTGAGATGCTCGACGCTATGGGCGTTGATCGAGCGCGCATCCGGCCAACCGGAGTGCCCTTTCATGGCATCGTGCCTGGAAAGTAGGCCATGCTGCTCGGGCAGATCGATCTGCCCGTCACCTTCGGGGGTCCATCCAACTATAGGACGGAGACCCTCGCTTTCGAAGTGGTGGGGTTCCACGGAATTTACCAGGCCATCCTGGGAAGACCATGCTATGCGAAGTTCATGGTCGTCCCCAACTACACCTACCTCAAGCTAAAAATGCCGGGGCCCAGGTGGGGTCATCACAGTTGGCACCTCCTTTCAGCGTGCCTACGAGTGCAAAGTCGAGTGCTACGATCACGCCGCAGCGATCGTAGCCTCCGAAGAGCTCGCGGACATCAGAAAAGAGGTCACCGAAGAAGCGCCCGACCTCAAAAGGTCGACCGGGTCCTTCAAGCCAGCGGAAGGCTCTAAAGAGGTCCTCATAGACCCTGGGAGCACCGAGGGAAAATGGTGCGCATTGGTACCACGCTTTCCTCCGAATAGGAAAGTACGCTCGTCGACTTCCTCCGTGCCAACAGAGACATCTTCGCATGGAAACCCTCGGACATGCTAGGCATTCCGTGGGAAATCGCCGAGCACGCCTTGAAGATCTACCTAGGCTCCA